TTTTTTCTTTTCTTTTTTTTTTTTTTTTTTCTTTTCTTTTCTTTTCTTTTACTTTGATTTATTTGTTGTGAAATGATGAAATCCTTTTGGTGTACTCCTTGGTCTTCTGGTCATTGTCATTATTATTTGAATATTTCTTTATTATGCTGAAAGTGAGCCTAGATCAAAGACCTAAATTAGATTTATTTTCTTAAGAAATATAGATTTCACCAAACAGAAATTACTTTAATGTATTACTGTTTCCCAAATAGCTCACATTAAAATACATTTAATGCAAGGAATCAACAGAATATATATATATTTTTTACTCTTTTTCATGAATTATCATCATGAATGTTTTTAATCTTGTGGCAATGATAGTTATGGTATACTGAAAGTAACCCCAAATTGCAGACTTAATTTCAATTCTGCTGTATCACTTTGATATTTCTTTATTTTACTGAAAAACTGAAATTATAGAACCAATTTGAATATAAGAATTATATATATTTCTTTTTTTTTCCAAATGATAGATCAAAGAGAATACAAAGGGCTTTCATTATCATTTCCTAAATATCTCATGCTTGAGCAAAACAAATTTATTACAAGAAATTAGCAAAATATATTTAATCTTATATATAAGGCAATGCCAATTTTATTTGTTGCTTCTCTGATTTTTTCAGAAAAAATTGGAATTACAAGGGGGAAAAAAATTGCAAAAAGTCTAGTGTGAAGATATAAGTCTTACAGAACATAAAAAATAACAGGATTATTCCAGTTTTCAGCTTGTCAGGGCACATTTAATGTAATGAATCCTGTCCTTTGATCTGTTCCTACAATTCCGAATAAAGAACATTGTTTTCTACTGAATTTACATGTGTTAGTCATTTTTGTTTTGTACGATGTCAATCCAAACTTTAATAAGCCAGTAGTAACATTAATAAAACAAACAACCCGTACCAAAAAAAACAAAAACCCCAACAACACTAAAAGTTTGCTTTGTCGGGTCCCTTTCACCAGCATTTTGTTGCCTTCTTCGGCATGCAAACTTTCAGCTTTACAAAGAAAACATCAATCTACTCTACTGTCCACACACTCTATAAACTATTCTATAACTAAACTCTAAACTAAACTAAGCTTATAGTTTAAAACTACAAGTTTATATTAGTTTTACAGTTTAGGATGGTGCACACCAGCACACAACAAAACCTTCTAAGGTGCCATATTGTATTGAAAGATAAGATGCTTCCTGATTGGGTGCCCTCGAGCTAGCTCTCATATTTGTTTCCGGCAGCATATGCCTCTAATAGTAGCAATGTTTACAGGTTTGCAAAAGCAAAACTTGTCGTGGTTTCTGGGTCTGTCTGTTTTTTTTTTCTTCTTCTTCTTCTTCTTCTTCTTCTTCTTCTTCTTCTTTTAGGAAAAAAAAATGAAGCGGCAAATCAAGAAGCAAAAATAAAATTAGTTTGACCTAAAAGAATCATCCCTAACTTTCTCTTGAATATTATGCCAGGGTATTGCTTGTACATTTTGTCAAACTTTATAAGAGACAAAATGCAATGATGTTGACAAATACTATATAAGTATTCAAACTTTGACCTTCAAGATTACTCCCCTGATTTGTGGTTACCTAGTTTAGTTGAAGACTTTACAATAGTACTTTAACAAGCAATGCGTGTGGCCCCCATGCTTTGGCAGATTGCACTGCATTCCTATTAGTTTTCATGTTTATTTCTATAACCAAGCCTTTTGTGTATGATACTCATGTTCATTATATACTTTTCTATAGAAAAAGCACATCTTCATTAAATGGAGGGTATTTATAAATTACAGTTCTGCAGAAAGCAATATCATGTCCTTGGTGCTTCAGCAAAGGTCATTCATGTTTTCATTGTTCTTCAATTTTTTTTCTTGTAATTGTGCATTTATAGGTGTTATTCCAGGGCAATATATTATTTTCCCAAAGAAAAAACACAATTTCATGCATTAAAGGTATTTATGAATATGGAATAAATTGATGAGTATGAATGAACAATATATACAAATGCCTGTTACTGTTGCAAAATGTCCATTCAAATTATTTTATGTATGTTAGGTTTATCAATAATGAACTCGTTATGTGCGCATTAGTATGATATAGTATATACTATGTATACACCATTTTGAGTTAATATAAAAGTATTTATTTGATATATTAATTTATTGGTGTTTTGTGTATCATACCACTTATCTGAGACAAACTGGTTGAGAATATGGTCAGAAAACATCTCAGACAAAATTTAAGATGATTTTTAGACAGTCTCAAATTTATTCTTAAGATTGTCTGAAAATGTCTGTAGATAGCTCCCTTGATACCAGATCATGTGAAATGATTCTCGAGACAGTCTCGTAGAAAATCTTTTGAAAACAGATTGAGCAGTTCATTGGCTCATAAGAAATGTTTATTATGGATAGATTTTCCAAGTTTTGCATGAATACAATTTCCTAATTTAATAGATTATTTTATTGATGATTTAGAGCCACTTTCAGTATTAGAAATTTGCTTAGTTTTCGTTGATTGACAAGATATGGCTTGCATGAAGTGAATAGAGAAAAGCTTTTGCACAGTATGCATGGTGCATATGAAAACTATTCAAGTGCATTTAGTGTTTAGTTTTGAGTTGGTTCCAGTTATGTTGTAGCTATATGTATTGTGTTTTACTCAAATATTAAGATTCTTTACAGCTTTCTCTTTAATTCCTCTATAATTTTTTCTTCTTGTTAAGTTTTTTGTAGTGCTTCATTCTTATTTATCTCTGTAGCCTGTTATTCGCCTCAGGTGAATTTGGAAAATTTCATATTCATAGTTCTAAAAGATAGACACCATTTTTATTTCTAATGGTTATATGCTCCAATGCAGTATTGTGGAAGTTAAAGAAAGACTATAATTAGGGTGCAATTTGTTCTTGAGGATGGAACAGTAATCCATCTTTGAAATTTTACCTAAGTTCTGACTAGTTGATATTGTAGTTTATATACAAATGTTGAAACAGTTGTTTCCTATGCTTCACTGACATGGTTTTGGTGTTGGGTGTATATTGCAGACAATGGAGCGAAGGAACGAGACAAACATATGACATTTGCCCGCTATGTCACATATGCAGGGCTCACAATTGCCACTTGCATCATCCTCCAGAAGAATACCTGCATAGCTGCAATTGTGGGTGTTAGTGTGGCTATTTATATCAGCTTCTCAGAATATTACCTCAAGGATACAACTGCGCCTTCTCTCATACCACAGTTACCATTATCGTCAATGTTTCCAGGAGCAGAGATGAGCGAATAGTTGACCATTTTGTAATAGCTGTTTGAATGTGAAAAGTGAGATTTAATATCCAGTGAAAGAGATACAAGAAAAATAGTTAATTAGACTTTAAAAAATAAGCAAATAAAGAGAAAGGAGAAAAGTAAAACTATAAGTGATTTATACAGCTAGATTACTAGTTCTTGAATGTGGTGAATTTACAAAATGAATATGATAAACAACTTCGCAAGACCTATTTAGATTGAGGTGGTATGCGAATCATACATCATGAAATAAAATTGTTTACAGGCTTTAGTCCGAAAATAGTTATGCTATATGATACATCATTCTTTTTCATGGAATAATTTCAACAGATTGAAATATAACTGTTGATGGAAAATGAAGTATGTGTTTCAGGTTATTTTTAAAATGTATGTGTATGTTTGTGTGTGTGCGTGTGTGTGTGTGTGTGTGTGTGTGTGTTGTGTGTGTGTGTGTGTTGTGTTGTGTGTGTGTGTGTGTGTGTGTGTGTGAGTGTGTGTGTGAGTGTGTATGTGATTTGTGTGTGTGTGAGTATGTGTTTGTGTGTGTATATGTGATTTGTGCATGTGCGTGTACGTGATTTGTGCGTATTGCATGGATGTGATTTGTGTGTGTGTATGTGTGTGTGTGTGTGTGTGTGTGTATATATATGTATGTGATTTGTGTGTGTATGTATGTATGTGATTTGTGTGTGTGTATGTATGTGATGTGTGTGTGTATGTGAGTGATTTGTATGTGTGTGTGTGTATGTGATTTGTGTGTGTGTATATGGATGTGATTGAGTGTGTTTGTGTGTGGATGATTTGTATGTGTGCATGCGTGTGTGTATGTTTGTGTGTGTGTGTGTGTGAATTGTGTCCGAGTTTGTGTGAGTGTATGAGTGTGAATGTGCATGCGTGTATGTGTGTGTGTGAGAGACAGACAGACAGACAGACAGACAGACAGACAGACAGACAGACAGACAGACAGACAGACAGACAGAGAGACAGAAACATACAGAGAGAAAGAGTCAGTAACAGAAACAGAAACAACTTAATTTGACTACTTAACAAGTAGAGAAGATTGTTACTTATTGAATATTAATGATAATACTACTAGCATTACTGATATAATTGGACAGACAAGTGCATTTTTTTCCTTCTCTTTTTGTCTTTCTTTTTAGATGTATGAAGTATGCATTTCAGTTTTTAAAAGTTATACCATAACTATTGGACTCAAACCTGTCACTGGAGATATTATTATTTACTAATAAGGTGCTTGTTTATTAATACTCTTCTGTAAAAGGACAATCTTTTGGTAAAGGAATCACAAAGATTTATTTAGACTTACAGTTGTAAGTCCAGTTAGGCTGCCAAATATTTTTTTTGCATTTATCATGTTTTATTTTAGGTTGTATTGTGCCATAAACATTTATTTTTTCATAAATGTATAGAACGTGATTTATTTTGGATATTTCATATGGGTTACAAGTGTACAATGAGTTGTAATGTTGGTATTCCGTAAATAATCAGCGAGTAATACCTTTGTGCAAATTTATCATAGGCACGGAAAATCAGTTATATAATGGTTAAAGTAATTAAGACTTGTGCTCTTAAAATCAGTAACCCCATTTTTGTTGGTATCCTTAACATAACACATATTTTAGAGTTTGGAGTAAATTGGTATTCCGTTCACCTGCATAGACTTAGATGGGGAAAACATTTAGTACTATACATCTCCTAAGGTTGTTGTGTTAGGTTTTGAGATGTAATGGCTTAGGTGTAGCATATGTTTGATATTTTAGGATTGACTAGATTGTAGAATGTAGCTGGGAATTACATTGTATGCACAGTGTGGTCCCCCCTCCCTGTTATAGCCAGTGTTAGGTGGGAAGAAAATCTCTATCTAACGTAGACTATTTATTTCTTTTTTGTAAATATTTTGATGAATTATCTTATCCTATTGCAAAGAAATGTTTAGGAAAGACGTGTGTCTCCTAAAGAACTTCTCCTGCAGTTTTCTTCTGTGCAAGTTACAACACATGCCAGTAATTTAGGTATGCTCATTTACTGTAATTACTAACATCCTGGTTTTACTCCTGCAGTAACATATGTAAAGAAATTAAGTCTTTCATCTTTATGCCTAGGCAATTTATGTTATGGCTTTACCATAATTTTTGGTACTTGTACCTTTAGTCACCTCTGTGATGAATTAGTCATGTGGTCAGATTAGTTTTTCTTAAGATAATTTGGAACTCTGTGTAAAAAAAATATATGCATCATTAAAAAGGGATTATTTCTTTCACTATTAAAGAAAAAGATACATCACCAATTATCTTTTTCTTATTTCATATTTGAAACAGTTGTCTTACTTATTTAGATAATGAACTGAAAAGGTATCAGTTTTATTTTTATATGTATATTTTATATCACAACAGCAATCATATGATATTGTTTTCATTGTCAAAAAGTCTGGAAATTATTGTGAAAAGAAAGGTAGTATGACAACTTGATATTAATGAAAAGTCTACAGATTGATATTCTCTTCTCACCTTGTATACTAGGTTGTTGTAGAATTTGTGTAAAGTTATGAAATTATCATATAGTAATGGTGAGTCCATAACTGATGAGTATATTATTAATCTGTATCAGAATTCTCAGTGGCCTAGAACCATTGCTTTATGTAATTTTAGAATGATTAGATAGTTAAAAAGAGGGAGGTTCAATAATGTAATTTTGATAACCTTTAATATTGCATTATTTACTTGAGAAATTGATGTCCTATAAGTTTTATCTCTAGGTTTAAACTGCCATGTTTTGTCATAAATACATTCTCTTTGCTTTTATGGCATATTCAAGCACAAGAACTGTGTGATACCTTTTGTCTGTATATTTAAAGAATGGTTGTAATCCAGTTACTATAAGGATATTTTTCCCTTGTTCATAAAAACTGATGTCATTTCCCTTTTTCCACATTTATTTCAGTGTTTATATATATTTAGTAATATCTATATAACCAATTTAAGCATTATATATAAAAGAAAATATTTCTATTGTCATTATGCAGAGTTGTACAGCGCACAGATCCTAGTCATTAAAATTCAGTAAAAGAAATTGTCATCCAAGTCTTTTTCTGTCCATCCACCTAGTAATCAGTGAAGTTGGCATTGTATTTTACTGGTTTGTTGATAAGGAGGAGAATGAGAGAAAGCAAGAGAGGAAAAGAGTATGCAAGTGTGAGTGAATTTCAAGAGAGAATAATAGAGACAATAATATTTACTTATATCTTGGGAAAAGTGGACTCAGAGCCAGCAATAAAGATCTTGAACACTGCATTATTTCTATTGTAAAACTTTTAGTAATATTACCTATAAGTAATTAAGAAGGTAAACCTTCAAAAATTTGATATTTTAAAGAAATTTATCAAAATACAAGCTTTTAGGTGCCTATCATTGCTCACAAACTACCAAATGAACTAGGCACACACACAGGAAATTCAGTGTGCGCCAATAAACCCACAATCATCTCCACTTGCCAAAATTTTTACCCTGTGTTATTGGGTTTAAAGAAATTATTTGTTGGTAAAACAGTTCACTGTTCATGTAGATACAGTAATATCTCTGTGTATTAGAAATGTTGTATATTCAAAAGGTAATGTTTTTATCATATGGTTATTCAGAAACGGGAGTTTTATTGCTTTCCCTTTCTATTCTAGTAGCATCTGCTTGCCTGTGATGTGCTTTGCATCATCCTAAACTGCTTTTAATCTTCAGTTAGACAAGTTGTTACTTATTATTTTGACTACTTATAAATTAACTACCATCATCATTTTGGAGATTTACACACTAACACAAATAATTGAAGAAAAAACTGTCACTCACATTGTTGAAAATACAGTGAAATATTGTAAAGATTCATATTCTTATAATCTAGTCTAGTAGAAAGAACAATTGTGTATGAGGCAATTCATGATGATGATTAATAAACTTATGAACAGCCTGCTTGTAAATAAACTCTACATTTTGAACATATTGTTTTCTAAATCACATATATAAGGAGATACACATGTAGACACAAATGAACACACACAGTACACACACATTTAATGAGAATGCTTGATGACCATACTGTTTAGAATATTATTTTATTGATTTCAGATTAAAAAACTCTTGAAAAATTCAAGATGCAAGAGCATGATTGTAAGCTTTTTAAGAGCTTTTCGTAACACATTTGTTATTAATCTGATGCCATGTGGGATGACATGCACATACATTCTTTTTGTATGGTATATTGCCTCCTTTACTTTTTATTTTAATTCACTTTACCCAAATTCATTGTTTATGTTTATATTTGAATTGATATGACATGTTTTTCCCGAGCAGATTTGTTATATATTTTGCTGTGTATTAAGACTGATGTTTAACATTTTTTCTCCCAACAGATGAAGATAGTATAGAAGAGGATGAGGGTCAGGATGTTGAAGCCAGCACTCAGAGTAATAGTAATGATAAAGAAACAGTTGGTTTAAATGGAATAGAAGACACACACAAAGAAGAACCAAAGCAAAAAAGTGAACTGTGATAGTTACTCTTTAGTGGGTTATTTATCATTTCAGGTAGACTTTTAGCAATACTTTATTTTCTTATATTCAGCTTTTCTGTAAAGACAGAAAAAAATATTGCCATTTATGGGCATTCTCTATAATTTAGTGATATGGAATTGTGTGCAAGATTTTGACAAATTTCTTGTGTAATGTATGCATTTTCTTGCAATTTCTTTCCAAATAATCTAGAGACGAGTCAAAAAAATTAAATATACTATATTTGTCTGCACAAAAGGATTCAAAGGTTTTGTTAAACTTACAAATTTGTTGGGTTGTTCCTTTTCTTTTTTCTTTTTCTTTTCTTTTCTTTTTCACCTCAGGCATTGCCAAAGACAAAGCATATAATTGCCAATTTTTTTTACTGCCACTATTTTGCATTTACTTGTTCTAGTTTGGGTCACTGAAGCATGTGGAAATCTAAAAATAGATTTACTTTTCTTGTATTCAATTTCATGTGGAAATCTAAAAATAGATTTACTTCTTTTGTATTCAGTTTAATGTGATAAATGAGACAAAGAGGTTCTGCTGTGTATGGATTAGAGGTTTTACTGGATTACATCTATTGTTTACTTGGAATGTAACACTTAGAATCAAACTAAATTGCAAACAGTGTCATACAGATACAAATAGCTAATACAGCAAAATAATACTTCCTACAGAAATATAAAGGTTCTACACAATGGTACTCACAACTTTATTATTTATTACATTTCTATAATATTGATCATCCTATGACACATCTGCCGAGCAATGCAATCCATACAATGAGCAGCCTCATTGAAAAGAGGGATTCCTTTAAAGAATAGATTTCCTTTTCAAATTTAGCTAAACTTCTCCTTTTGTTTTTATTTATTTATTTTTGCTTTAGCTGTGATCTCTGAAAAATATGAATTATCAAATGTAAGTCCCTATGTTGCTGTACTCCTTTCACATTTAAAAAATAAATAAATAAATAAAATAAAAAGCAACTAGAGACTTTTCAGACCATTCAATTTGTAAAATTGGTTGATCTCTCTTTTCATGTGACAATAAACCTCAGGATTTCCATTATATTATTTATTAACAATCTATGGAAAATATATAATAATTTTCAACCAGATCAATGAATTACACACTCATGTGTAATTTAAGTGCTTATAGATCTCATCTGCATCACAAAGTCAAGTATCCTTAACAACACATACAGCACAAATATGGGGGAAAAATAACAGAAAAGAAAAATCATCTACACACATTAGTACACATCAATACTTACGAAACAATACCATAAATGACCTTAGGGTTTAGAATCTGTCATTGTTTCTTCACGTCCGAAACAATGGTTGAATGAATAAATCCTTAGGAAATAGTTGTAGCAATATACATGTCCATATTTACAGTACAAGCAACTATATCCATTATTTTTTTCTTTTCCTACTGTTCTTCTTCCTTCATTGGGATTCTTCTTTTCCCAGTACAGCTGATGGTTCTTCTTACCAGCAATATAACCTAGTTGTGAAGCACGCGAGTAAACATCACGCACAGCAAAGGGTGAATTTACTGAAAACAGAAATTAAAATTATAGTAACCTACTGAAGTTTTATGTATTGCAGTCATAGCTACTAGTTCCAATTAAAAGATGATAGATTAGTTCTTTTTCATAAGCTAAAGATAGTGGCTTTGATGAAACTCCCCTATGAATGAGACTCCAATCTATTTTTTTTTTTTTTTTCAAACTCAAATAGTTATTAATAGATTTTTATTTATTATTTATTTTTTTGGTGGTGATCCAGATAATTGACAAAGCTACCTCCATTTTTGGGAGAGAGTTGTTAAAAACATTTTACTCTAGGATGAAAATGATGAAATATGACCCAAACAAAGAAAGTAAAATACTATATGAACGGCATATCATTCTTATTGATTTGTAAACAATTTCTGAAAATAATCTCATTTCTTCTATTATTATCTAATTGTTATGTCACAATTGCCAATTTTCAAAGTATGGTGAAATATGTTATTTCAGTGAACACCAAAGTGGCTGCTACCACCTTAGAGAGAGAAGAGAAAAAAAAAAAACTTAATCATCTTTCCAGGTAAAACACAGACCTGCTGCTTTAACAAAAAACATTCAAAATTGCCTAATTTAATTCTGAGGAAAAGCTAAACTTTCATTTTCACTACTGGCAGCATTTTGATTTTATTTTTTATCCAAGAGGACAAAAATTAATTTCTTTTTTATGCAAGAAAAATTCAAAACCATTTTGTAATGGGAATATAACTTGCCTACAAATTCCCCTACCTTGGGCCTAGCCCTTGCCTAAACTAATTTTGCTTGGTCCTTTCTTTTCTTCTTTCCTCTTCCGTATCTTCTTTATTCCCTTATTCTATCCCATTCCTGAGGTGTGAGAGCGTCTGAAAGGATGAAAGGCTGGCTTTGTGTCTGTCACGAACCTCCGGGAGCCATGGGCACAGTATTCCCTTGGTTAATTACTTAGCCTTACCCCTAATGGGGACCCTAAGGGGTAGACATTTCTTTTCCCAGTTTATTCAGGCTCACCATGGCCAGTAATGAAGATTCTTTACCCTTAATAGAGGCATTAAGGCTTGCCCCTTCATCAAATAGCCTATCTGAATTTTGATTTTGATGCCCCTCCTTTGACCACGGCTCCGACCACTGATGCTAATACCCCTCTTCGACGCTTACGAACAACTCTAACCATTCTGAAAACCCATTCAGGTTATTACTCAACCCTGGAAAATACCTTTTCCTCATCCCCAACATTCTCCTCTTCATCCCTACTGCACCCTCTTCAATGTCAACCCCTCTTCCCTTATATACTCTTCATCCTTATTGTCCTCCCCCGCAGAACTACTCCACTCCACACCACCATCTTCCTCTCGCCCTCGTCCTTCTACTACCTCTACCTCTGCAAACCTTCTGGGTACTCTATTTGGCCCAGCCAAGTGGGATCGATTCTTTGTGATTCCCCCCACAGCCCCTATTCTGAGAATACCCTTCTCTTTCAGCAGTGCCTCCAGAAACAAGTAGGCAAGGTTACCTTTCACAGTCGCTCTGATCGTTCACGCCTTGTCACGGTTACATCTGAAGCCAAGCTCGTGCACTATCTACCCTAACTGACCTTACTGGCAAACCCATTCCTGCCGAACCTCACCCAACTCTTAATACTTGTACTGGAACTGTTTCTATTCCCCCAAATGCTTGTCCCATGTATAACAAGGACTGGTCAGACTGTGAAAATGACCTACTTTCCTGCCTTGATGAATATGATGCAGTGGCAGTACAGTGTTACACTCTTCCTCCTAGAGGCCAACGTAAATCCCACATCAATATTGCCAAGATTAGCTTCCATAGACAAGACCTCCCCATGAGGTTTATATTGGTGGATTGTCTTATCATGTCCGACAATATCAACCCTTCCTCGTCAATGTCAAAATGTTGGCGTTTTGGCCACCCAGCAAACATTGTCGCTCCACAGCCTGCTGCCCTCTATGTGCCCAACCTGGTCATGACCGTTCAAATTGCCCTGCTCAGTCACGTACATGTGCCAATTGTGGAGACTCCCATAATGTGTTTTATAGGAGCTGCCCTGCCTATAATTGAATGTGAGGTAGCAGTCCTCAGATTTAAACTAGGCCTCACTCTATGAGGCCAGACAGGAAGCACGACGAGGTTTTTCTCTCTCAACTTATTCCAAAACAGTCCTGCTCTGCTCCCCCATCTACACAAGATATTTCTGCATCTCCCAGTATCTTTTCCCTAATCCAAAACCTATGTCCTATGTCTACTCACCCTATCCACCAGTCAAATCCATTTTCCATCTAAATCCAGATACTCCAATCTCTACCACTTCCCAGATACCTCCCTCCTCCTCACTTAGTTGTCGTACCACACAACCTAAACGTTCCACTCCACGCTCTCCTACTACATTCTCTCCTACACCTTCCTCTTCATCTGTTCCTCAGATATCCATCTCCTCTTCTCCTCCTTATAAGAGAACCTTTGTTTCTCAGTCCTCTATACCAAATTCCCCTCCAGAAACCCTTGAAGACATCCAAAACTTCCTAAAGATGACCCAAGGAACACTCCACTCCTCATCCACCCCCAATCCCTCTGTTCCTACTCCTGCTACATTTAAAGTATTTGCAGATATTCACCTCCTCCTTCCCAAGTTCCCTCCACCCCCTTCCTCCTACACCCTCACATACCCCACCCTCTCTCACTTCCACTTGAATACTCACAAATCCCCTATATCACAACAGTGTCCTTCTCCAGACATTTTTCCTGATGCTTCACCACCTTCCCCAGTCTCCCTTTCTCAACCCCTGATTCTTCTCCTCCTACTTCTACAACAGCCACCTCTGTTTTCCTTGATCAATGTCCCTACTCCTTCCCCAGTCACAGATACACTGCAATTCACTCAGTTGCTCTACCCCCTTATACTCCCCCAACGCCTTCCCAAAACCTTTGATGTCTAGCACATTATTTTTCAAACATTGATTAATTAACTTGCCTACAAAACTGCTCTTTGTCATACTTGCATGTTGATCCTTCACACCAATGTTACAAACAGCTATACTTTAATTTACGATTCATTATTGAAGTTGACAGGATGGCATGTACATACATCCTTGTCCACTGTGATATTAGTTATTAATTGTATTTACACATAGATGGTTTCATAAGTGCTGTTGACTGTAATTTTTCATGATGTGATGGTCGCATTACCCAGATCCAATGAGTATTAACATCAGACATCCTTCCACCTCAAAAAAAAGGTAGGGCGGTAGTCAGGTGAGGTCATGTTAGGTCAACTAATTGACCCCTTGGTGACTGAGTACTTGTGGAGCCAATATAAGTGTAAACAAAATTCACGAAACAAAACTACAATGGACATGAATGTTCTCTTGTAGCATTGGGTTACGTAAGCCACTTTCATATTTTATATTTATTGATCAGAGAAGAAATGAATAAAATATCCATTTTGTATTTTATCAATTATTAAAAGAAAAATATCCTGTTTACATCCCTATTAATTAGGTTTGTAACCCAAAAAGCCTATCTGACTTTTATCTAACTTCAGTTTTTTTATTATTCTATATGATTACAATAAATTTCAACTTGACTGAATGACCTCCCCAGTTTGTTAATTTTGACTTCTTTACATTCTTATCTCTGCAAACAAAATATTCCTTGCATCAGCATATTTAGATTGAAAAGAAAGAAAGAAAAGAAAGAAAGAAAAGGAAAAAAAAAAAAAAAAAGCTAAACATATTGTATCTCTAAATAAATACAGAACTACTTAATAAAGACTCATGCGTAGATTTATCCTTTTTAACAGCAACCGAAAGAAAGAGGAATCATACTCACAAGTATCAAAGTCAACGTGGAGTGGGTTGATCTTCTTATAACTTAGTTTACTGGCATGTTTCTTGGCTTCCTTCTGATCAGCAGCGAGTATTGGGTATCTTGTGTTTGCCTCCTTTGGCATGGGAAGGAGAACTGCCACCAGGAGAGACATGGATGAGTTATCAATACCACTAACATTAAATAGGGAAGGGAAGGGAAAGGAAGGGAAGGGAAGGAAGGGAAGGGAAGGGAAGGAAGGGAAGGGAAGGGAAGGAAGGAAGGGAAGGGAAGGGAAGGAAGGAAGGAGGAAGGGAAGGAGGGAAGGAAGGAAGGGAAGGAAGGGAAGGGAAGGAAGGGAAGGGAAGGGAAGGAAGGAAGGGAAGGGAAGGGAAGGGAAGGGAAGGAAGGGAAGGAAAAATTGATAAGGAAGATGATTATGATGAAAGAATAAAATGAAAAGTGGGAAAAAGACAAAAAACAAGAAAAAACACCCAAATAAGAAAATCAAAAGGAAAGCAAGGAGGAGAAAAGTCAGAGAAAAAGACAAAAGAAGGGAAATTAGGAGAAAAAGCAAGAGAATAAAAAAAGAAAAAAAAGAAGAAAAAAAAAAGGAAAAATAATAAGAGCAAAAAGAAAACAAGAAGTGGAGAAAAAGAGTAAACCAATGAAAAACAAAAAGGAAAAAAATGCAAGAAGGAAAAGAAAATGAAAACAAGGTAAAAAGATCAGAAAAAAGCAAGAAAATTTGAAAATGAAAGAAAGAAATAGTAGTAGCAGAAAAAAAAAAATAATAAATAAGAAGAAAAAGTGACGACAAACATAAAATAAATATGAAATGAAACACAATATAAAAGGGAGAAAATACTAAATTTGTGATGCTATGAAAATGATTACCTTCCTTCCCAATTTCTTGTCTGATAAGTGGTCTAGTCTGCTTCAAAATGCTAGAATTTACACTTTCCCCCAATTCTTTAAGTTTTCACTCACAGAGAAAGAAAAAATATGACCGCACAACTGGTGAAAGCTCATCATAATTCTCAAGTAATTTGCTGTTTAGGAGATCCCGCTAAAAAGGAAAACCTGCCTTTCCTAGACCTATTTCTACTTTGTACTGAATACAGAAACTGAAGGCCCAGTCTCACCTTCGTTCTTAATGTTGATTGGTCTTGGTGTTGACCCAAATCTTCTTTGTGCCGTCGGGGTTCAAGGTCACTGACACTTTCTTTAGAGTTTATTACCACACTTTTGGCAAAATGTCTGTAAAATAATAGGTAAAAAATAGTTAAGGATTAAAACATTAATCATAACAAAGTGAATGGCAACGGTATCACTAAAAAATGGTAATGATACTTATTACAAATATTTATGATCAAATTTATCCCCCAAGATCAAATTCATCTCGCAATTTTTAAAAAGAAAAAAATATATATATATATATTTCAGAGCTACATATGCAATATCTAAATGCACAGATGATTCTACACCAAAGAATAAAATTACCAGCTGCATGTATGACAGGGCAATAACAAGGCTTTAAAGACTGAAATAAACTCTCTGGTGTTAAAGCAATAATGAATGCTGAATGTCACCAGGGTACATAACGTATCAAATGGATGTTGAAATCAAAGCATCCTTCAAAAAAAGACTATACAATTATATTTTACTTTATTTGCTGGGAGAGATCAACATAATGCCATTACTGTAAACATAGAATGTACTTTAAATACAAGATCCATGAGGAGTCAGAGGGCTGAAAGGAAAATTTTATGCTTTAAGGTTTAAAAAAAGTGGGAGGAACTCACTCTGTTCATGATGCTTGTCGTCTTGAAGCATGCATGGCATCGCAGAATGAAGGTCCTGACCTGCTGTATCAGTTTACCATCAACTCCCATCACTCTTAAGCCTATATGTTTCAGGACATTCTGAAAGCAAAAGACAAAAAATTCTTTCATATTTCCTACATGTATTTTCATGAGTGTCATCATACTGGTTGTATGAGGCTTGAGAATGCAAAATTACAAATGCATGTGTATAATATACCCACAAAGAACACATTTCAACATAGAAGCCATACTTCCTACCTGCATGGCAAAGTCAGCTGTCATGCAAGCAACAAGGACTTCCTTCTCTTCTATTTCCTCCTCAGGCTTCAATCCAATTTTCTTCATCTTATGTTTTTTGACATTGGAGAGAGTAATCCATCCTCCAGCATCATCGTCCTCCTCTTCATCACCAGCTCCTTCTTCTGCATTAACATAATCTTCACTGATTTCTTCAGTTTGGTCTGTGAAAGAGGATGATGTAAGTTACTTTCCATTGTCAGTAATTCCAATAATAATAATAGTAATATTACAGACAAATCATATGTAGTATTAGAGAGATATTGTTCAATATTATAAATGTTATTCACTTCTCACCTTCATCATAATCTTCATCCCCGTTGTGCTGCTCTGAATCTATCCTTTCATCATCTTCACAATATTCTTCATATACATACTCTTCCTCCTCATCCTCATCCTCATCCTCCTCTTCCTCTTCTTCATCTAGTTCCTGTTCTCCTTTCTCCTTTTCTGAGTCACCATCCTCCCCAACACTGTCTGACTGCTTAACATTTTCATCAATGGAGATGGAACCTATGTCTAGAGGTACCTGATTTTTTATCTGTTGGCATTCTTCTTCCTGCAAAGAATTGTTAAATACAATTAGAAAATGGACACATCCATGGAGTAAACCTAAATATGGATGATAAATTTAACAATAATACATTACCTGCCAATGAATACGACAGAGTTAATCTTTTAACACAGACCTTGGAGTGGCCAATTCTCTCTTAAGCAAATATAAACAAACAATAATCTTCTACCAGCTTTGATTTTTGTTTTTTATCTGATTAATCTTAACAAGATAATCTTCAAGCAGCTACCTGGCAACTCAGAGATATCTCTTATTCTTCAATGTCTCACTTGCTAACACCAAATACGGAGATCCCACCCATGATCAAATTTGGAGCTACTTCAGTACTGAAATAATCTCACGCAGAAGCCTATTTTCCTTCCCGTGAAAGTATAGTTTTTCTTTACCATTACTTATCCCTGCCAAAAATATTATTACAGTCTTATATAGACATGGTGATCCAGATAATTTGGCAAAAGCTACCACCATTTATTCAAGAATGAAGATGATAAATATGATCCAAACAAAGAAAATAAAATACTCTATATGAACAGCATATCATTCTTATTGATTTGTAAACAAAAGTTCTTCCAGATTTTTTAGATTATTCTGAAAATAATGAAGGTTAGTCTTAAATTATGTGAAATTTATTAACTCTCTGAATACATCTCATATCTTTATTATATCAGATCACTACATCCCAATTACTGATTTTCTGAGGTAAAATTTTGGTGGATATCGAAAGTGTCTGCTACCACCTGAAAAATAGTGGATGGGCCTTCAAAAATTTCAGGGGAGCTTCGGAGGCCCTACTAATCTTTGAAAATGCATTTCGTTCAATTGCAGCAAGATGGAAGATTCTGCTGGAAAATGACCAGATGATTCCCTTATGGTAACTCCACACCATCTTTTCTACTAGTTGATGACATTATCATTATGTACCAAGACATGATTGGTGGGATTAACTAGCTTGTTCTGTACATGTGCAGCATTAAATTTTGAGCTTAAAAGTTAATGCTGTCCCGGGTGCTTTAAAAAGTTGATCCAGTATACAGCCATTGCACATGTGCATTAGAGATCAGAATTGAACTTTAATATGGATTAACTTTTATGGCACGTATAGAAAATGCCCAAAGATCATATAAGTGCACATGCCAGATTGGATAAAATTTTAGATAAATCTAAAATCCTTTACTTAATAATACAGCAACTGACTCAAGCGAGGTAAAATCCATTCATTTGGCAAAGTTAATTATCTTTAGTTAATGAAGAGAGAGGAAATATAAAAACAGCAATAAAGAGAACAAATTTATGTCCATATAAAGTGCTATCTAAAAAAAAAAGGAACTGCTCTTCATCCAAGCCACAATAGAAAGGACAAAGGAGAAAAGAGGCGGGGGAAAGGGAAGTGGGAGGAAGTGCAAAGACAGGAGACAGTGCAGCAGAAAAAATGGAATAAGCATCTGTTCTTTGCTATAAGCAAACACTGAGACACACTATACTAACAAACAAAAACACCATAGTCTTTTGTATGTAATGACTAGGATAAAAATTAAATCACATATACATTCAAAAAGTCTGTCATGGCTTACCAATATGTCCTTATCAGTAGGTTTTCCCCTTCTTTCTTAGTCCCCTAAATCATAAATCTATGGGCTTCCAAAAAATGGATAATGCATGGTCATCAAATAACAAAAAATAATGGCTGTCCACCGAGTTCACAAACTATAGCATAAGATGCTGCCATCAAATTTAATTTATTTCTATCTGAAAACGGTTTTACTTGTAATACTGAACTAAACTGCAAGCAACTTTTCCACAGAATGGTATATTTTGACCAAAATCATCATTGGAGTGCAAAAGCCATGTTGGGAACAAGGTAGACATACTGGCACCAAGTACCTTGTTACCAAGTGTCCATTCACAGCTGTATGTACACTCGCTAAAAAAAGTATCTTTACTTGGGAATATAAGAAACCAAGACAATTCCTAGGAGTTGATCCAGAAAGGTAGGTACATGTTTTCAAAACTCAGAACAGACAAAGCTTCATAATGAGTTCAAACAGTGTTTCCACAGTGATATGACTATGGCCTCTTATCATGGCAATATTAGCAATGGAGACTCAGACATTTTGTAGTGCCATGATTCTGCTCTACTCTGAGGACTATCAAGAGCTAAATATCAAAAAGATTGTGTATTTTGAAGCCAACATGTCCCTGTGAATCCAGCAACATCAACAAACTGGGTCCACCAGAGACAAGGCCAGATGTGGGTTCCCTAGATGCTTGATGGAGGAAGAGGATCAAGCAAATTTGATACTCAGTGGCAACACCCCTCACAGCTAACTGGATTCGAGATGGGGGCATAACTGGTAGTTATTTGACATCTCCCGTGAGGCATTTTGTTCTTATTTATTTTCATTATATCTTTTAAACTGGCCATAACTATTACAAGATATAGACCACTTTTGTTTTGCAAGCAACATCCGCCAGATTTGGCATTAAGTTGCTGCATACAGGCTGTTAGAAACCACTGGGGCACAGGGGTTGATGGTGCAGGCCACAATTACGGTAGGGAAGATTGTGCTCTACAAAAAGACCTAGTTAATCAGGGTGTAGTGGCATCCATATCACATAGACTTGCCCACATGTTTGAAATATTAAAAGTATTATACATATCAAACCCTTATTTTCCTATTCAATATATTTGAATTGTCCATCATCATTATCAAGGAATTTATTTAGCTACTTAAATATATCAAATGAGATCTTACTGCACTTTTCCCCACCGTTTTCATCGTAATATCAACATTGGTAACAGAAAGAATAAAGATACCTTCTTTAGCAAGGGTACATTACCCATCCATGTACAGCATTATACTAGCATCCTCAAAATGCTGTATTCTGATGCATATCCATCAGATGGTATATTGATACTGATGATGAATCAGCAAACCCTGCTATGTATATATAAACGATTTTACATTGTCTGCAGAAGCCCAAAGACATAATATTTAGTAAGAAGATTTAGGAATTCAATTATTTCCTAATCATTGAATTCATGTCCTGGTATTTTTTTTTCTCAGAGAATGAGAAAGAAGTGTCAATTTCTCTTAGCTTTACACAAATGCTGTACCTTGGGAGTCTGTAACATGAATACTGTTTGTATCCCTCTTGAATGACCAGTTTTCAATTGATGCTCATAAATGCTCTGACTGAGCTACTACCTGTTTCTTTTCACATTGGTATCTATGTACTTCCAAACACTTACTCCTTACAATATTCCAAAATTTCATTTGTAATTCCCTGCTGAAATCAACTTTTTTTCTTGCAACACAGTTGCACTTTTGAGTATGCATAAAACAAGAACTTTACAATTCATTGATTAACATTCCAACTTAGTCTTCTAAATAAAGAGAGATCACTGTGACAGCTGCAGAAAATGTATGATGGTAAATACACAACTTCAATAAGCATGAAATGTAACTGACATGTCAGTATCTTCTTTAAAACTTCTGATGAAGATACATCATCCAACATGATTTTTGGTCTTGTTCAAACCTTATATACATACAAGACCTTTCAAGCTGGTGCTTGAAAGGTTGATTTGAACAGTTTTGCTTTAAGAAATGCCTCTGATCTAACCCCAACAGCCATTTCATATGTAATACAACAAAATCTGTCAAAAGAGTTGATGTAATTTTTTAACTGGGGGATGGCAAACTTGTTTCTAAGTAACAAGAGGCTTTATCTAAGCCAGTAGCAGGCCACATCTACCTTTACAGTTAATAAATGAAAATAATAATAATAATGGAAGACCAATTAAGAATAAGGTTTTTAAAGCAATTCTATGTAGCAAAAATACATACAGCATGCTGCTTATTGCTCAACATTCTCTTAACCCATTAGATCCAGATGCTTCACTGCCATCACATGACCCAAATCCAAATCCTATTCCCAAATCCTATTCCTGGCCACCAGACACAGCTCACAGATCATACATTCCATACTCGTTTATCAATGGAAATAATGCAAAAGCTCCTTCCTAAATATCAAAGGAGACTAATCACCCTCCAGGAGCTTTGTGCACTCATGGTGAGTCATTCCCATTACCCCGGCCTTCAGCTGAAATGTTCACATCGGCAAGTTTGCATTTCCGTAACCAACAACCTAATTTTTCCATTAGGGCATGTTCATGTTACCCACCCAAAAGCCAAATTTTTCATGACATGATGGTCATGTCATCTGGATCATTGTGGTTAACATTTAGTGCCATGGTGTGTGTAGAAAGATGCCTTCAGGACATTTTGTTTGGTGAATAAAATCTGGCTTGTTTGCCAAAGGTTGCAAACCTTTTATCTTAACCCACTAGCAATGGTCCATTTGGAACCCAATAATCAAAATCAATAATCAAATCGGCACGTGGCCCAGTCTAAGAACCAGCCGCCTGCCACCCGCCGCCCGCTACAGGTGACAAAATCGGAGCACAAGCTCCGATCTAGTGTCGCACCGGTTCGACAACCAGCAATGTTTACTTTTCCGGTGTCAGATATATGTGACACCCTGTCACAAGTGGGTTAATCACTTCAGAGTGCCAGTAAACTTCACAAGTTAAATATCAACTCATGATAATGATTATGAATAAATATCAAAACTGGAATTATAGCAGAGTTGCTATTTACAGTTAATGGGTAATATGTATGCTGTCATAGAAGGGTCAAAATCCTCCCTCTTTAAATGTTAGTAATGACCCAGGTGTCCCAAAACCATTACACGAGTACGTAACACAACATAATGATGTCAAACACAAATAACATGCTACAAAAAAAAAACAATAACTAGGGATCTCATAATACTGAGCATAAAAGACAGCTCTAACAAAGTGAACACATTCTAGTCAAGTCTACAGCACAAACCACACACTTTGTAGTTACCATGTTCTCTGCTCTTTCTCCAAAGTCCCGAAGAATGTCTGCTAGTGACCTCTCAGCAGTTGGAAATGTTTCTCTCTCTTTCTCGCTAAAAGTAGATATGTGTTTTGCCCACCTCCAAATATGGGG